AAGCCCCTTTTTTTCTCATAACCCTATCTAAAAAAAACCCCCCAAAAAAAAAATTTTTTCCTTTTTTAAAAAAACATAATAAAAGGGTGGAGTACAAAGATGAGCCACTGAGAAGAAATGAAGATCCTCCACATACCCGGAAAGGTTGATCCTCGATGAAGGGGAAGTAGGGGATGGGCTTCTCAGCGTCACCCCAGATACCTGAGACACAGGCCTTGCGTAGGAACTGGCGGTCCTCGAACCTGGCACAGAGCTCCAGTGCCACGTCAATGGGAGGAGCCTCCTCCACTGTGCCACACCCACAGGCCAGACTGATGTCAAAGCTGGGTAGCCACAAAGACCAAGAAAGGTAAATGTGTTAGAAAAGGTAGTCTACGTCTGTTATATATTTTGTGTTTCATTGTTTACATCTACGGTACTTACTGACCTTGTACAAAGTGGATTACAATCCTGACATTGACACTTCCATCCTCCCAACTTCTGTGGCATTTTCCCACTCCACATGGCAATAGAATTCCAATACAACTTAGAGCAGGTTTTTCTAAGGTACTGTATGTAAGCCACATCAAGATACTCTCAAACTACAATATTATTTGTAGCTGAGCTAACTGGTATCTGATAAAGGATAGTCATGCTCGACGTCCCAAATGGAAACCTTTTCCCTTTCTGTGCACAACTTTTGACCTGGGCTCTGGTCAAAAGTAGTGCACTGTATAGGGAAAAAGGTGCCATTTGGTACGCAGACATGATGTGGGTGTGTCCAATGTACCTGTCAGGCTCAGGATTCACTATCCCCATCACAATTATCTTCTTTCCAGGCCTCATCCCACCTCTGATACGAGCACTGAATGGAACTGACTGAGAACAAAGTACCGTACATTTTCTTCACATATCCAGAAGTCATGTTGAACATACACTCAAACTAAAATGTTCTTCAGAATAGGGTTCATATTGGTAAGTTAATCAAAATAACATAAAGCTTACCAGTCTTCGCACAACCTCTTGGTCAAGGGAGATTGGACTGCATTTATTTCGATCAGATTTGTTAGGATGGTCACCAGTAGCCACAGTTCTCTTCAGAAACGGAAGAATACAAAATACATGTTTTTCATGTTTTCAACAGTAGTCTGTATGCTTCAAGCAAACATAGAATGCTCAGTTTTCAAGAAAATTGCACTTTACATGAAAATTATAGAGCATAGCCTAGATTGGTATAAAAACACGTATTGCCTTGTTGAAATTAATAAATAACACAGTGCACATTGAGGGCGCCATAATAAATTGATGCTGCATGATGTCGACAAGACTGACGTCCGTGTGTGCGTGCCTCATATGATCAGCACTTGCTGAAAAATTACAGCAGATGGAGTTAAGCTCGAGTCTACAGTGAGGGGAAAAAGTATTTGATCCCCTGCTGATTTTGTACGTTTGCCCACTGACAAATAAATTATCAGTCTATAATTTTAATGGTAGGTTTATTTGAAGAGTGAGAGACAGAATAACAACAACAAAAATCCAGAAAAACGCATATCAGAAATGTTATAAATTGATTTGCATTTTAATGAGGGAAATAAGTATTTGACCCCCCCTCAATCAGAAAGATTTCTGGCTCCCAGGTGTCTTTTATACAGGTAACAAACTGAGATTAGGAGCACACTCTTAAAGGGAGTGCTCCTAATCTCAGTTTGTTACCTGTATAAAAGATACCTGTCCACAGAAGCAATCAATCAATCAGATTCCAAACTCTCCACCATGGCCAAGACCAAAGAGCTCTCCAAGGATGTCAGGGACAAGCTTGTAGACCAACACAAGGCTGGAATGGGCTACAAGACCATCGCCAAGCAGCTTGGTGAGAAGGGGACAACAGTTGGTGTGATTATTCGCAAATGGAAGAAACACAAAATAACTGTCAATCTCCCTCGGCCTGGGGCTCCATGCAAGATCTCACCTTGTGGAGTTGCAATGATCATGAGAACGGTGGGGAATCAGTCCAGAACTACGCGGGAGGATCTTGTCAATGATCTCAAGGCAGCTGGGACCATAGTCACCAAGAAAACAATTGGTAACACACTACGCCGTGAAGGACTAAAATCCTGCAGTGCCCGCAAGGTCCCCCTGCTCAAGAAAGCACATATTTAGGCCCGTCTGAAGTTTGCCAATGAACATCTGAATGATTCAAAGGAGAACTGGATGAAAGTGTTGTGGTCAGATGAGACCAAAATCGAGCTCTTTGGCATCAACTCAACTCACCGTGTTTGGAGGAGGAGGAATGCTGCCTATGACCCCAAGATCACCATATCCACCGTCAAACATGGAGGTGGAAACATTTTGCTTTGGGGGTGTTTTCTGCTAAGGGGACAGGACAACTTCACCGCATCAAAGGGACGATGGACGGGGCCATGTACCGTCAAATCTTGGGTGAGAACCTCCTTCCCTCAGACAGGGCATTGAAAATGGGTCGTGGATGGGTATTCCAGCATGACAATGACCCAAAACACAAGGCCAAGGCAACAAAGGAGTGGCTCAAAAAGAAGCACATTAAGGTCCTGGAGTGGCCTAGCCAGTCTCCAGACCTTAATCCCATAGAAAATCTGTGGAGGGAGTTGAAGGTTTGAGTTGCCAAACGTCAGCCTCGAAACCTTAATGACTTGGAGAAGATCTGCAAAGAGGAGTGGAACAAAATCCCTCCTGAGATGTGTGCAAACCTGGTGGCCAACTACAAGAAATGTCTGACCTCTGTGATTGCCAACAAGGGTTAAGTCATGTTTTGCAGAGGGGTCAAATACCTATTTCCCTCACTGTACATTCCATTGAGAATTAGTGATAAAGTAGCCTATTAGTAGCACTTGAGCAAATGCAAATCAATTTATAACATTTTTGACATGCATTTTTCTGGATTTTTGTTGTTGTTATTCTGTCTCTCACTGTTCAAATAAACCTACCATTAAAATTATAGACTGATCATGTCTTTGTCAGTGGGCAAACGTACAAAATCAGCAGGGGATCAAATACTTTTTTCCCTCTCTGTACATTCCATTGAGAATGAGTGATAAAGTAGCCTATTAGTAGCACTTGAGCGACTTTTACTCCAGTCAACGTAGCCTACCTTGTTGAGGAATTTAGATATTCTATTCTATGTAAATTAATATATTCAATTTTCCCAAAGGTCTGTATCTAGTAGGCCTAGGCTATGCTGCACATTTTTTAAATAAATGAAAACATATTCACTTACCAGTTCTGCCATCTTGACCAAATTGAGAAAAAAAATTGATCAGCTGAGCTGAAAGGTGCTCTGTCGGTCGCACCAACCTGATACCCACAGCAGAAGTGACCTGACAGGTATGCTATAGCCGGGACCGTGATGTTGGAATTTGCTAAAAAATCTATGCATGCGGTTATCGCGAACGACGACTTCCTATCCTCCGACTTGCTTAGTTTCTGAGCTGAATGCTGCTGACGAAGTCAAAATCGTAATCCCCGTCTAGTCCTCGTTTACTATAATAAGAAAGCTTTGTTTTCTCTTTTCTATCCATCTCTCCTTCAATTATAGTGGGATAGAATGGGGCAGTGCCCTTTTAAAAAGTAATCAGGCTAGCTGCTAGCCTACAAAATATTTATTTAAAAATGCGTTTTATTATAAGGGCCTATTAATATATCTATTTTTTCAACAAAAGTGGGAACAACACTTTTTATGCAGTGGAAACAAATGGATAAAAAAACTACATATTGTAAAAATGGATTTAGAAATCAGTCTAGGACCACAATGCAATATAATAAAGAAGAAAATATGTATTTTCTAACTGAGAGGTCCCTGGATGGCATCTGGAAGGTGGGCCACACCCTGGTGCTCAGCCTGGCTCTTCTGGCCGCTGATCTACTCCTCTTCCATCTCAGAGTCCCCCTCAGGGAGAGACAGTGTTCTGGCTCATGGATGAGGTGGAGGACAGAGCCATATATTTCCATAAACGGCTCTCTTGGACAAAGCACCTCTCCTCTGGGGTGGGACTCTGCAGCACAGGGCTAGGTGAATGGGCCTTCTCCATGTCGCTCCACATGCTGGAGGCTCTCCTCTGCTCAGGGGGTGAAGGAGGCATGATCTGCCACAGGAAGTAAGGCAGAGTTAGAAATGCATCCTTTGGTTTATTGTGATTTTCACCAAAATTGAGAAACCAGGTTATCTATTGTACATGGTTATTTGGAGACACCTGGTCAGCGTCACACCTGTATCTCATCGAAGGACATCCATGGTTTCTGGGGGTAGTAGGGTTGAGACTTCCAAGAGTCAACAGGATTAATGGTCAGGTCGTCTCTGAAACTATCCGTGGACAAGGTGGATATTCACACCCTCAGGTTGGCCAGTCCAAGGAGGTTGTGTGTTGGTACATCGCCAAAAGACCTGTAGTCTGATTTGGCTTCTTTAGTCTGACTGAAATAGCTGATATTCTGAAAATATCAGTTGGTGGTTTTCTTTCTTTTGCTTTAAATGTGGGTAGAATCCACAATGTCTATAGAGCTACCACATTATTTTTTTAAATAAAGACCACCAACCTGTGCTCGTACCTTCCCGCATCATGATAACATTTTGATATGAGGTTCTTACATTTGAATTATGTTTCCTGGGAAACACTGCTTTATGACATCTTTGGAACTCCAGTGATGTCATTTGTTTTTGAGATAAAGTAAAATTATACTGTCCTAAATTCAGTGGTGTAAAGTACTTAAGTAAAAATACTTTAAAGTACTACTTAAGTAGTTTTTCTGGGTACCTGTACTTTACTTTACTATTTATATTTTTGACAACTTTTACTTTTACTTCACTACATTCCTAAAGAAAATAAACGTTTCACTCCATATATTTTCCCTGACACCCAAAAGTACTTGTTACATTTTGAATGCTAAGCTGGACAGGAAAATGATCAAATTCACACATTTATCAAGAAAACATCCCTGGTCATCCCACTAAACACACATGCTTTGTTTGTAAATGATGTCTGAAATGTTGGAGTGTGCCCCTTGCTATCCGTAAATAAAGAAAACAAGAATGGGACCGTCTGGTTTGCTTAATATAAGGAATTTGAAATGATTTATACTTTTACTTTTACTTTTGATACTTAAGTATATTTTAGCAATTACATTTACTTTTGATACTTAAGTATACTGAACAAAAATATAAATGCAACATGTAACAATTTCAATGATTTTACTGAGTTACAGTTCATATATGCAAATCAGTCAATTTAAATAAATAAATTAGGCCCTAATCTATGGATTTCACATGACTGTGCAGGGGCGCAGCCATGGGTGGGCCTGGGAGGGCATAGGCCCACCCACTTGGCAGCCAGACCCACCCACTGGGGAGTCAGGCTCAGTCAATCAGAATGAGTTTTTCCCCACAAAAGGGCTTTATTACAGACAGAAATACTCCTCAGCACCCCTCCCCCTTCCCTGCCTCAGACAATCCCGCAGTTGAAGAAGCCGGATGTGGAGGTCCTGGGCTGGCGTGGTTACGCATGGTCTGCAATTGTGAGGCCGGTTAGACGTATTGCCAAATTCTCTAAAACGACGTTGGAGTTGGCTTATGGTAGAGAAATTAACATTCAATTCCCTGGCAACAGCTCTAGTGAACATTCCTGCAGTCAGCATGCCAATTCACACTCCCTCAAAACTTGAGACATCTGTGGCATTGTATTGTGTGACAAAACTGCACATTTTAGAGTGGCCTTTTATCATTCCCAGCACAAGGTGCACCTGTGTAATGATCATGCTGTTTAATCAGCTTCTTGATATGCCACACCTGTCAGGTGGATGTATTATCTTGGCAAAGGATACATGTTCACTAACAGGGATGTAAACACATCTGTGCACAGAATCTGATATAAATAATCTTTTTGTGCTTATGGAAAT